GACTGTTACTCCCTGAATTCCTCTGCTGAGATGGTCAATGTCTACAATGCAAGGGGGATTCTAGGAGTTAATGATGATGATAATCTTAGAACTGCAGACCCTATGGGTCATCGCTACCCAGCAGTTGAAGTTCAAATTAGTGAATTTTCCCAACTCTGTTTATGAAGACAATCTATCCTAGACCCCTGCTCCCCTTGCATGTTGCAGTCATTTCAGCAATGGTGAATCTGGAGAGATTCCTGCTTCCATGTTAGATTTTACATATGGGCAAGAGCGCTGGAAGAGCTTGATTCTTGTTCCTGCGTGAAATCTACATGTGAGCAGGACCCTCCTCTTCAGACACATAATTGCTCACAATAACAATGCAAGGAGGGAGATGGTGGGCTACCTTCTGCCTGCGAAGATGCTTGCAGGCTTCAGAACAATGGAATGAGGCTACCGGGAAAGACTTGTATCCGATGAAAAGAACTGCACACCTAGGACATGCATATTTAGATTAGTCTATAAGGGCACACGAGTGAGAGATCTCCAAGTTCATTATGTTACTAGACAAGTGGTGTGTGTGTTGATTTACATCTTATATTCCAATTTGTGTAATGTGGTGCCCTCTTATGTTGGGCTGCTTCTGAAAAGTGTCCAGAAGCTGCGGTTAATGAATAATGGCCAGATTATTCATGAACCAATAAAACTAGTGTTTTTTTTTTTTTTAAATACTCTGTCCAACTGACTGCTTTTACCTGAATGGAACCCTAGGTGACAGCATATATGTACTGTTCCTAGTAAAACCAGTGTTTGCTCAATTTAGACAATATAAAAATAGAAAGTTGAAATATTTCCCAATGTAATGATACCAAGACTCCTGGCTAGAAAAGGTAAAAACTGCTGATAAGAAACAATTAAGCAGGTGTTCCTTCAAAACTCTTACACAGCTCAGCAAAAGTCTGTAAAATACCATCGATGCAACAGAATTTTTTAAAAAATAGGATATGCTAATTCTTCATATGGGCCACTACAATAGACTTGGCTTGAGATAAATTGTTCAATTGATGTTATCAAAGGCTGTAATGAAGAAATAACTGAGGCAAGCAATGTCAAAATCCTTATATGCTTTGTTAAGGATAAAAGAACATAGAGGACCTGGAAAAAAAATGTTTTTGTATTATATAAGCTAGAGGCAGATGTTTAGTTTCAGAACCACATTATAATTCGTTGTTAAATGCAATAGGTAATCATAATGCTTTCCGTCTACATTTACTCGAACATGAATAAATTCTGTAGTTTATTAATTATTTGAAAATTTATTTTAAAATGTTGATTAAGTTTGCAATTTATCGTAAGAAAATTGAAGCACACATATAATCTTCAAAATGCACACTCACTTCCCATCTTGTCAGCCGGGCAGTGTCTTATTCCAATGTGTCCCTGTGAGACAGAAGGCGAGAGGGATACCCCACTCACTGGAGTGCCGTCCCTCCTCCATCACGAGGATAAGGAGGCAAGACCCCAGCCAGCATCTGAACCTACGGAGAGAGCTCAGCAAGGAACAGAAATAGAGAAACTGTGTGAAGAGATTCAGAAAATAACGATGGAGGAGGTTCAGGAGAAAAAGGCGGGAAAGGAGAGGAAAAAGAGGGTGGAGTTTGAGGCAGGAATAGGGGAGGGAAAAAAAGAAGGAAGAGCAGTTGCCGCCAGGCTGGGAATGGGTGTGGAAGGAAGATCCCTGGACAGGATCATGGGAGAGACTAAATGTGCCTAAAGAGGAGGCTGATTACAGAAGGAGAAGGGAGATCCCACCCAGCTCCTCATATTGGGGAGAAGCCGAGGCAAGAGAGTGGAGAAGGAGACAACTGAGAGAGAAAGGAAAGAAAGACTAGAATGGAGGATAAGAGAGATGAGCAGGAAGAGTTACAGGGAGGACCCTGGGAGAACCAAGACCCAGAGAGACGAACCCTATGGATTAATGCCCGGGATGACGAGACTGTGCCCCTGTTGGAAGTTGAGACGGGGGTCCTTGGGATTTGCCAGGACCATGGAATGCCAGCTGGGGAAACTGAACTGAACCCTCACAGTTCCCCCCCCCCATAATGTCAGATTAACTGAAAAAAAAAAGAACTGGAGCAGAAGTGGCTGTGGGACGCATCGCCATTGCAAGGCAGTTTTCACGGACAGAGGCATCCACATTTGCCAGATGATTAGAACGATTTTAGATCTCCGCCAAAATAATCAACCTCTGCCAGTGCAATAAAATACCTCACTTCTGATGAAAAAGCCCCACTATACCTTGGCAACCGCTTTCCTAGTCACACATGCGCCATATAGTTAACTATATTAAAAATAACTGAATATTCGAATCCCCCCAAAATCAGGCTCTCAGTTAAACGTCTGCAAAGTTATTGGACCTGGAAGAGGAAGGTGAGAGGAGTGATGGGGACAATATGAGATTTATGATCTTAAAATGCACAATAGTTTCTGTAGATCCACAATATGAATCCAGGTTTCACTTTCTTCCAAGATAATTAAAACAAGCTTTCTTTATTTTTATTTTGGTTTATCTACAATCAGGATCTGCTTTTGACGCTCCTGTGCTTTTGCTCTCTTCTGGAAAAGGAAATTCAAAGGAGTGATGGGAACAGTATGAGAGAAATAATTTTAAAACGCAGAATAATTTCTGTAGCCCCAGAATATGGTCCTTTCAGCAGAGACCTTGGAATAAGTGTGCATTCTAGCAAAGCTTTTTGTTTGTTCCCTCCTACTTGTTTGTACAGGAAGGGTAATAGTTGCCAAGGGAAAATTTCATTTTCACTTTTGGTTTCCCCTGCCTATAAACGTAGGCTTTTTTAAGAGTCCTGTGAGAGAGGCTGTACAAGCAACAGCACAGGACAAAAGTGAAGAGAGACGAAGCCACAATACTGAAGAGAAAGGAGCAAGCACAGTAAGACCAAAGAGTAATGCTTATTACATTTTCCTGCCACATCCTCGTTTTAAAATTGGGTGGGGAATTGTTAATACCCCCTTCTCTCAGCAAGCACGAGCTTCCCACCACGCTTGTAAAGGGCTTACGCTGAGTAGAATAAGTTTTCTTTATTGTTGCTGCTGCGCTTCGTTTTAAAGTAGGTTTTGAACGTTACTCGGAGGTAATGCAACTTGGAGATACTGTCCAGGCTGACCGTTTTGGGAAGGGAATGGTTAGCTACAAAGTGGATTGAGCTACAAAAGGGTGGAGGGGGGAAGAGGAGGGAAGGGCCTTTTGGTCCCGTTCTCCCAGGAAAGGGCCCCTCGCAGCCCGATCAGATATCAGTAACAAACTTTCCCTGATGCCTGTCTCTAGGAATCCGCAGCCATGATCCTGAGGCTGAGGGGAGGGTGCTTTGCGGGCGGTCTCTGACTCAGCCTCTCCCCGCCTCCCCCTCTGATCGCAGCAAAAGCCAGGGAGGCTCAGAGGAGCTCCCCACTTCAGATCGCTGCCAGCCGCCTGTCCTCCTTCTTGCACCTTCCCGCCTGCCTGCCTGCCAGTCAGCCCTCTTCCCTGAACCTTTGGTCTCTGTCGTAAGATGATCTTTATCCCCCCCCCCTCCCCCGGTCCTTCTAAAGTTTCTGTTTAAGCATAGCTGTCGCGTGCCTGTTGCAGATTCACTTCATTTCGGAGTTCTCAGTGCTTGTGTTGTACTTCCAACCCCCACAACACACACAGACATTTTCTATGGATGAAAACACACACAGACATTATTATTTTATTATTTATTATTTATATCCCGCCTATTTGGTCGGGTCAGGACCACTCTTGTACAGATATTGTACAGTACAGTATATGGATGTAAAGACTGTTCCCCTCGGAGGATATGTTCCCTCCCACAGCCTGCTGAACTCGGAATGGTGCCCTTGCCCTGTGTCAGAAAAGTGTATTACACCTCTTAAAGGGGAAGGATCGATTTATTCTAAAGTGAAACACAAGCAAAGATTTTTCTTTCCTGGCAATGAGTGCCATCTGTTTTCCATGTGCAGTATTGTAACTATATGCCAGTGGCACACAGGGACGTTTATTTTATGCATCACTGGACCTTCTTTATTTATTTATTATGTGGGGGCTCATTATTTGTCATTAATTCTCTATTAGAAGTTTCTAATCTTGCCAAGATATGAAAAAAAATTGGAGAGGGAGTAAACAAACAAACATAAATTTCAAAAACCAAACAATAAAGGCATGTAGCAGAAAGTACTATTTATTTATCCAACTGTATTTTGCCAGGCGCAGTCCTCCCTTAGGAGATAACAAGCCTGGATAGGTTAAGCAGTGGTGATAAGAAAAAGTTATAAACAGTTCTGGATTTCCCTGACAGGCAATGGGAGGTTTTTTAGCAAAAGAAAGCCCAGCTTCACAAGAAGAGACCAGCAAAGGTGAGTCAGTAAAATCCTTTCCCTGATGTCTGTTCCCCCCTGCCCCCCCCGGCTGGGAATCTGCAGCCATGATCTTGAGGCTGAGGGGAGGGTGTTTCCATTCCAAAGAGAAAGGATGATTGAGGGCTGCCTGGGCCAGGTGTTTGCTCCTGCTTCCCCTTTCCAGGCACCATTTTTTACCCAGACCTCCTACTGGGAAAGGATGGTCAGAAAAGAGAGGCTTGCAGCAGGATCCCCCTTCCTCTTGCTTGCAGTCTTCCTTTCAGCCGCCAGCAGAGCTGAAAGGGAGGGATCACCGTGGCTTTCAATTTTTGTATTCCTTTCTCTCTTGAGAGGAGAGTGTGATCGGCATTCTCCTCACAACCACCACTTGTATTCAGATATGGATCAAGTAATAACATCACACACACAATATATATCAGCCAGCAGTCTTAAAAAGGCTTGCTGTGCCCCCAGACCCACCATGAGTACCCAAGAGGCAAGCCCAAAAAGATACTAGGTTCTTCTACTGCTGCTCAGGGCGTCCGTTTCTTCCCTTTCTGTGTGCCTATCTGATTGTACTTTCAAGATCACAGTGACTGTGACTGGATGTGATAGAATAGGCATGCACTGCAAGTATTTTCATGCAGATGTACATTTGGGCAGGTATTTCTATCACATTTCAATAATAATAGTTACATGCTGTCATATTGATTTACGGCAATTCTTTCCATGATTTTCTATATAGGGAGTCCTCAGAGGTGATTTATCTGTTCCCTTCTGGGGTCATCCTGGGGCTGTTGAGCTTCCCAAAGCTACACGTGCTGCTTTTCTCTCACAGGTGGCATAGGGAGGATTCAAACACGCAATCTCTGGCTCCCCAGCCAGGCACCCAATTCCTTGAGTTATTCAGTCAAATGCATCAAATTTTAGAAACTTGCAGCTAATGAACAGGTATAGAATTGTGTTGTTGGAAATGACTTCAAAGATTTTCAGTCTACCCTCCTGCTGTTGCAAGACATTTAAGTATATTTATTTGAACGTAACTGGAAAGGAGGTTCTTCTGAAATGTGAAATATAACAATGACACGGTGAGTTGAAACTAAAGAGGAAATAAGGTATTTTTAAAATTCTAGGTTATTTACAATTTTGAAGTTTAACTCCCTCCCTTATATTTTTCCATTAGGTGCTCATCGTATGCTGGTTGAACCATGGAGGAAGACTGATTGGACACCGCAGTAGGTTTATGACTTGAGTGTGTCTGTGTTACAGTCTATGATTGTATATATTTTAAATAGGTAGGAAAAAGCAAATGCTAGCTGCAAAGTGATGGATCACTGTAGTCTTTTACAGGAGGGTGGTTGATCTAAATCAGGAATGGGTAGAGTGTGACCTATAGGTGCCATGTCCAGAGGCCACTGAACACTTATGATTTTTCTTTCTGCTTGTTGGGGCAGCCTGAAATGGCCAATAGCACTTTTCAGGTGGTTCTATTGGTTATCTAGAAATCTTTCCCCACTCTTTCTTTCTTGGCAGGGGGAGAGGCTGGCATAGGCCTTAGTAATGTCTGGAAATGTCCAATGGTACTCTGTAAAGGGCATTGCTAGCTATTCAGAGCACTGGAAATACGGATATATCTGTCTCTTTCTCTCTTTCTGTCTCTGAGGCATTAGAAGACAGAGAGGATTGGAGTCCAAGTGACTACCTGTGGTAGTTATTAAGGATGACTTTTAAAATGAAGCACATTCAAACGATTATGATCACTCCACCTATGTAATAGGTTGATGTGAGTTCTCAAACCACACAGTCTGGTCATTTGCACAATCTTCCTATGCTTTTGAGCAAGTTTTAAAAATGTTTTTGGTCAAGTTTTTTAAATTTTCTAACTAAAATTTCTTTTGGCCTTTTTTTTTTAAAAGACAATTCAGAGCTGTGTAAGATATTGTAGTTAATACAGGTGAGTTTTGCTAAATTGAGGCGATTCACTTTCTTAACAGGGGAAGAAAAAGATTGATGGATGAGATAGCTGCATATAATCCTCCGTTGAATTCAGTAGAAAAAATCCGTGTTCTGTTAGTTGGGCAAGTTGGTGCTGGGAAATCCAGCTTTTTCAACTCAGTGAATTCTGTTTTCCGTAACCATGTGAGGAGCCAAGCGATGGTAGGAGTACATGACACGAGTGTGACATGGAAGGTTAGTTATATACTTCAGAATCTAAAGTTAAGATGTGTTCAGTCCTTTTGTAGTTTTTATTGTGTTTCTTTCAAAATGTTTCTCAGCCAAACTTTGATTGTTGCGGTTTGGTCAAAATATAAAAGCTGCAGTGTGCTTTTTAAATTAATCAGTAGCTCATTCTCACCACACTGAAGAAATCAGAACCTGTGGTAAAATACCAGGAAAGGTCTCTCTGACAGAGACTGGCACAAACTGGTTCGTCCCAGTTTGTACTGTAAAGGCAGCAGAACAGGTGCTGTTGCTCCCCTGCCTTGCCTCCTCTGCCTCAGTCAGCTGGTCCCCAGGCCCAGCATGGTAACTTCCTGCACCTCTTCAACTGATCTTCCAGTCCCGGCAAGAGCTCTGGCTTCTCTGCCTTGCATTCTTGGCTGATCTGCCACTCAAACAAAATGGAGGGAAGGAGACTCCGTGCTCTTGCTCATGACCGGATTAGCCAAAGAGGTGGCAAAAGCAAGCAGGCTGTGGTGCGAGGCTGATCAGCTGAGGAGGTGGGGGGAGTGGAGCAATAGCACTTGTGCTGCCACCTTTATGGACCGGGATGAACTCGGACAAACCGGTTTATGAAACCAGGGTTTGATTTTTTTATTTTTATTTAGTAATTTGTGCCCAGGATCTCAAAGTGGATTATAACATTTATAAAATACACAGGTGTGGCATTGTCACCTGAGAAACCATTCAGAGATCAAAGCAAACCTTGCTGAAACTGGTGCTCCATTCATCTGTTGTTGTTTTGCTTGGATTGTGTCTCACAATGTTCTGGGGACTCTCTGATGGCGAATGGGAATTTCTAGTCCGATAAAGGTGTGTGCAGTGTGTGTTTGCTTCCATCTTCCAAGCAATTAACCAGTTAAAAATCTTTCACTACATTTAGCAGTGTTATTGGTTTTGCAATATTCTTTTCATTCATTTGCATATATATGATTTCCCCTGGGTTTTTTTGCGAAGAAAAAGAAGCAATAGAAAGAAGCTTCCAACTGTCCTCATGAAACACATCTGAAAAATTAGTTCACCCAATAAAATTGTTTCTGATTGATTAAATAACAATGTGTTGATAAATTAAAAAGGAACAGGTTGTTGTGTCTGGATAGCATTCACATGAGGGTTCTTAAAACAACCAGATTGGTAACTATGATCTGTCAAGTATAAAATAATCACTAACATCAGCCTTTTTGCCTGACACTTCCTAGGTAGCATAGCTATGGGTATTAGTATCACAACTAGTAGTATTAAACAGGATTAGGGCAGAGCAATCTTAACCCACATAGACAGTTGTATTGTGGGGATAATGTGGAATGGAAGTACTGCATTTTTCCGTTTATAAAATGACCAAAAGACAACCTCCCCCTTTTCTAACCCCAAATTAGAAGAAGCAGGATCAAAGAGTTCCCTTTTTGCTAAGCCCCGTGTCTTGGCAAAAGGCAAGGAAAGAGGCTGTCAAAGTGACTGCTGCTTTTCCTTGCCTTTTGAGAAGGCATGGAGCTTAGCAAAAATGAAGGGAGCAACGCCTCCCCTTCCTTTTCGCTAAAGCCCCGGCCATCACCTTTTGAGAAGGAACGGAGTGTAGCAAAAATGAAAGGAGCAACGCCTCCCCTTCCTTTTCCCTAAAGCCCCGCACCCCTCGCCTTTTAAGAAGGCACGGAGCTTATCAAAAATGCAGGGAACAAGGGCTCCTCTTCCTTTTTCACTAAGCCCAGTGCCTTCGCAAAAGGCAGTGTTAAAGAGCTGCCTTCTGTGTATAAAACGGCCCTCAATTTTTCTTAAAGTATTTAAGGAAAAAGTGTTTTATACACGGAAAAATACGGTACCTCTTTACCTGAGGGCTGGCAGAGAAGGTGTATCTCTACCAGTAGGAGAGCATGTCCTCCTTGGTAGTTCAAGGCTTTTCCCCCCCTTTCATGAAAAGGACTATGCACGGAGGAGTAACATCAGTAGACCATCAAACTGTGTCACAAGGAGCCATAAATCTGATTCCTGGATTTCTCATTTCCTTTAGTGAACCCAGGAGTGGGCCAATTAATTAGGTGACCCTGAACCTGAAATAATTATTGCCTGGAATCCAAGTGTGTAGTTACATGGGCATAATGTGACATTACATGTACAGTAGCTGTGATAGTTCTAAGTTGGGAGTGCTATCTGCAGAGTGCTTCCACCAGGACATTCAGCCATAGTGGGAACTGTGTGACCAATTAAAGAATTAGACTGTGCAATCTGTATTGCTTAGGCCTAACTCCTGGCAAAATTACATCTTTATCATTTTACAATATAAGGTGCCAAAATGGATTTGGGCATTTTGTCTTCCATTCTTTTCCCAGAGGGCTGGTCAGGGGCTGTGGGAAGCCTCCCTCTGTCTTCCATTCTGGCCAGAATGAGTAGCAGGACTTTGGAAGTGGTGAATTATCTGAGCTATTCTGCCTTTCCATTGGTGGTTGGGGAGCATGAGATGGAGAGAAGAGATATCATTGCATAAATCTGCCCCAGAACTGCAGCTTTAAACTTGTTAACTGAGGTGTGATAATTGAAGAGGGGCATCTGAAACGCTGCTAGAGACATGTATGATTGGGTATAAGGCAGTTCAAAATGGCTGCCATGAGGTTGGATCACAAAATGAATGCTGGCCTTGACCTGCCTTTTGAGTTGTGGATTCATTTTTTTAAAAAAATGTTTGTGCCTGGAGGGAAGGGAAACTAATCCCCCACCTGCTTGCCCCCTTACCGCTGCCCATATCATCTCACTACTGGTCCTGACTCCTTCTCCATTGCCATTCCATCTTGATGCAGCACTGCACAACTACACAGTCACAATTGCAGCGCCGTGCTGCACCAATGCAGTATTGTATGGCCATGTAGCTCACAGGGAACATTGGTCAACTTGGACCTAAGTGCACAGAGATAGCAAGCCTGGCTATCTGAGCATGCCCATGCCAGTCAGCTGATAGGTGGGCACATGCAGGGCGGCAACAGGCTGAGCTCCCAGAAGGGAAGCAATGTCTCTGAAAATGGTGGCAGTGGTGGCGGCAGAGGAGGAGGAGATGGCAGCACAAGGTAGGGAGGTGATGGGGGCAGTGGGAAGGGGCCAGAGGGCATGATGTGGGGGCGGGGGGCAAATGAACTAGGAAGTTCATTAAATTCCTTTTAAAAAGTTGTTCATTTCATTTTGGTTTGTTGGTTCTGATGAACCAAACTGACATGAACCCATGAAACAGCAAGTTTTGATGAACTTCATGGTTTGTTTTCTGGTTCGTGCCCACCTCTAGCCTCAACCTTTGGCCTGCCAGTGTTTTCAGTCTTCAGCTGGCAGAATCCTTGATCCCTGAACATTTTGGTTGGAGATTCTGGGAAAATGAAGTCCAAAATCATTTGGAGAACCAAAGGTTGAGAAGCATGGTTGTAAAGGTTGTCATGCCACCATCCACTTTCAATCTGGGAAATATGTTGATATGGGTTATCCTGCGGAAATGGTGCGCTTTCATCATTGGGGCTGTGTTTTAAAGCAGCGGTCCCCAACCGTTTTGGGACCACAGACTGGCTGAGTCTCTGAGGAAAGCGGGCTCCCCCACACTTGCGTGGGCGCACCAGGGTGTGCTCTCAGGCACATGCGCAAAGCAACAAAGTAGATAGCAACAAAAGGGGAAATGTAAAGCAAAGCAAAAGGAAAGCATGCTGCTTATATACTGCCTCGTAGTCCTTAAAGCACTCTCTGGGTAGTTTGCAAGTTAATCATGTAGTCTGCTCATTTTACCTCAGAAGGCTAGAAGGCTGAGTGAACCTTGAGCTGCCTGTCTGGGCTTGAACCCCAGGTTGTGAGCAGAGTTCTGGCTGCAGTATAGCATTTTAACCACTGTGCCACAAGGCCCCATGCAATGCTGCATACAGATGCAAAAGTTCTTCACATATGTATATCCTGAAGTTGAATTTTCTATATTTGTGATTTTGAATGTACCTGCAAATTAATGTTTTCTTCTGAATAAAAATATTATGCTTGTTGAAACCCTAGGGATCCTTTTTAACCTGGGGAAGTCTTCAGGAGCCTCTGATTGGGGGGACCTTTAAAATATAAGAATCCCCACTGAATCACTGGTACTGGGATTTGGGGGGGACAGGTGGCAATGTTGTGGTACGTTTTGAATATTGATGCTTCCCCCTTATCCTGAAGACTTTTCTGGACTGAAAAGAAGTCCTATGGAGCCTTAGAACCTGTTTCTCTATGCCAGTCCTTAGTGTTTGTTTTTAACATACAGTGCTGCCTCGCTTGACGATTACCTCATTAGAAGAGGAAATTACTTAACAATGAAGTTTTTGCAATCACTTTTGAGATCACAAAACAATGTTTTAATAAGGAAAAATTGCTTCACAATGATCGGTTCCCTGCTTCGGGAACCGATTTTTCGCTTAGCGACGATCAAAACAGCTGATCATCGGGCTTTCAAAATGGCCAACCCCTATGTAAAATGGCTCCCCGCTGTGTTTTGGGACGGATTCCTTGCTTTACAGGCACCGGAAATGGCCGCCCTATGGAGGATCTTCGCTGGACGCTGAGGTATTTCGCCCATTGGAATGCACTGAAGTGGTTTTCAATGCATTTCAATGGTATTTTTACTTTCACTTGACGACGATTTCGTTCTACAGCGATTTTGCTGAAATGGATTATCCTTGTCAAGCGAGGCACCACTGTATGAAAATAAAAAAATCAAGGGGATAGGAATATACTTTATTAATAATTTATTTCCCCTTTTAAAAAAATAGTACAGGATCTACCCTGTTAGACTTGGAAGCAAAAACAAGACATTACCTATCACTTTCTGTGACACCATGGGGCTAGAAGAAAGAGAATTCGCCAGCCTGAAAATTGATGATGTGATCAACATATTAAAAGGACATGTTCCTGATTGGTATCAGGTAGGATGCATCACCTAACACTCTCCAACTCATGTAAAATAATGGAATATTTATTTAGGAATCTGTATTTTGCATTCATCATCATCATCATCATCATCATCATCATCATAATACAATGAATAACTGAAATAATAGATTGGACTCAAAATAAATTAGAAGAATTGGATCGAAAAACAGGGAAACTAATGAACGTGCATCACACACTATATTCAAAAAGTGATGTGGACTGATTATATTTACCATGAAAGATTGGAGGCTGTGGATTACTGCAAATACAGGAAGTAGTAGAGGAAGAAAAAGTCTAAATGATTGTATCAGTACAAGCAGAGAAAAATTACTGAAAGTCTTGAAAATGTAGAATATTTTTAAAACAGCAGAAACAAAGGTTCAATAAAAGAAACTACAATTTGAAAATAAATTAAACAGCTGGAAAAATAAACCACTACAAATGGACAACACCTGAGAAATATTGATGGCAAGCATGATCATAATTCAACATGGGCATGGCTAAAAGTGGGGACCCTTAAGAGAGAAACTGAAGGCTTGATTTTTGCTGCACAAGAACAAGCACTCCAAACCAACGTGATGAAAGTTAAGATTCGAGGAGTTAGTGCTAACAGCAAATATTGACTCTGCCAAGAAAAAGATGAAACTGTGCTTCACCTCATCTGCAAATGTCCAAAGATTGCACAAACAGATTATAAAATTAGACGTGATATAGTACCACCAGACATAGTGGTAATAGAACAAAAAATGTCTGGATCATTGATGTTGCAATTCCGGGGGATGCTTGAGTTGAAAATAAAGAATTGGAAAAACTAAGAAAATACAGAGCCCTGGCAATCGAATTCCGTATCCAAAGGGACAGATACCTTGAACATAACACACCAGACATAGTAGTAATAGAATGAAGAAATGTCTGACATCGCAACTCCAGGGGATGCCAGAGTTGAAGATAAAGAGCTGGAGAAACTAACAAAGTACAGAGACCTGGCAATAGAAATGTCTTGCCCCTGGAAGAAACACACTTCAGTAGTCCCTGTAGTCATTGGGGCTTTGGGAACAATATAAAAAAAATTCACACAGACATGTTTCCCCAAAAATAAGACAGGGTCTTATATTAATTTTTGCTGCAAAAACGCATTACAGCTTATTTTCAGGGGACATTTCATTTTTTTTCATGTACAATAATCTGCATTTATTCAAATACAGTCATGTCATCTGGTTGCTGCACAGTGGTGAAGGCGAGGGTTTCACTTAACTGGGGCTTATTTTTGGGGTAGGGATTATATTACGAGCATCCTGAAAAATCATACTAGGGTTTATTTTCAGGTTAGGTCTTATTTTTGGGAAAACAGGGTACAGTATAAGCAGTTGCAGATGTTAGAGATCACACCATCAGAGCTACAAAAAATGGATATATTAGGAATAGCATACATATTGCACCAATATTTAACACATACCGAAGGTTTTTGGTTAAAACTTGTATCTATAATACTAGTCAATGTTTTTATAATTTTAACTGTGCCTAGTGTTTTTGAACAACAAGAACAAGAACAAAAACAACAATGACGATGATGATGATGATGATGATGATGATGATGATGATGATGATGATGTGGTTGTTCTAGGTTTTTTTGGGCTCTCTGGCTGTGTTCTTGAGGTTTTTCTTCCTAACATTTCTCCAGTCTCTGTGGCTGGCATCTTCAGAGGACAGGAGTCAGAACTCTGTCTGTGCTCTGGTGAAGTTTGTGGGATAGTTGAGTATTTATAGCTATGGGATCAGCTTTTTGTCCTTTTCAGGAGATTGAATTATAGTGTATTGTTGTGATAAGGGAGTTAAATTATCTGTTACTGTGATTGATGGGTGTCGTTAGCTGGTCTTTTTTGTGCAGTGAGCACTGGTCCTCGTGGCTGGGTAGCGTTCACTGACCTCTTGCAGGCTGTGTTTTTCAGTGCTGGGAGCCAGGCTTTGTTGAGTTTTAGACTTTCTTCTCTTTTGTTGAAGCTCTGCTGGTATTTTTGGATTTAAATGGCTTCCCTGAGCAGTCTAACATGATGATTGCTGGTGTTGTCCATTACTTCTGTTTTGTGAAACAGAATTTCATGCCCAGCTTGTTTCAGGGCATGTTCAGCTACTGCCGATTTTTCGGTTGTTTTAGTCGGCAGTGTGTCTTATGTTATTTGATTCTGGTGTGGATGCTGTGTTTTGTGGTTCCAATATATACCTGGCCACAATGGCAAGGTATCCGGTATACTCCTGCAGTGGTGACAGGGTCCCTTTTGTCCTTTGTTGACCATAACAATTGTATTTTTGTGGTGGGCCTGAATACTGTTTGTAGGTTGTGTTTTTTCAAAAGTTTCCCCATGCGATCGGTGACCCCTTTGATGTATGGCAGAAATACTTGTGGGTGGCTGTTTTTCCTCTTTAGTTTGGTGTTGTTTTCTCAGTTAGATGGCTCTTGTGATTTCATTCTTGGAATAACCATTTGCCTGTAGGGCCCAATTCAGATGATTTAGTTTGGTGTTTAGAAATTGAGCTTCACAGTTCTGATTTGCACGGTCTACCAGTGTTTTGATTATGCCTCTTTTTTGTCATAGGTGGTGATTGGAGTTTTTGTGTAGGTACTGGTCTGTGTGGGCGGACTTTCTGTACAATTGTATAATTCATCATGGAAAAACAAATAGACCCACAACTCCCTTTCTTAGATATCATGGTCATATGCAAACCTGACCTCCTATTGGGAAACAAGGTCTAAAAAAACCCACCCACTCAGACTGGTAACTACACAAAAACTCAAGAATGGCTGGCCTAGGCCACTGAGCTATCCAGCAGTTTGAGGTGTATATCATAAATTGTTGCTGTAATCCTTGGACTTGCCACATTTTCTAGGTGCAAGACCGATGTTTATATGCAGATCTTTGGTGCGACAGCCAGATAAAAACACAACAGGAGGACTGATCTCTGTGAAGCAGCCTGCCTGTGAAGCAGTATTTTGCTGTTTTCAGCACAACTGAGCCTGTACTCAACCAAATGATTACACAATTGCATAGTCACTGTCTTTTTCGGTTAGGCAAGATAATTTTGATACATTTGTTTCATGCAAGACATTTGTATTTATGTGGAACATATTTTTTTCTGAATAGATATTTTTGATGTTAGTTTTTGTCTAGCAATTTCTTGCAGGAATCGGATTGTGTTTTAGCTGTGCTCTGTTGTTTTTACTAAGACTGCAATATCATTTTAATTTCCAGTTTAATCCACATGCTGCTATGCAACCAGATACACCCGGCTACATCGTGTCTCCCTCTCTGAAGGACAAGATTCACTGTGTTGTGTTTGTCATTGATGGGTCCAAGTTAGAAATCCTCTCTGAGAAGGTGGAACAAAAACTGAAAACCCTTCGACAGAAAGCTAAAGAGCTTGGTCAGTTTTGTATATTTATGTATTGAATAACATGAAATTTAAAAAAATCATGAAGTGATATTGTTCACTCAAATTATTGCTAGGCATCTCACACAGGGAAGAGGAAGCTGTGTCTGCAGATGTTGCTGGGCATGAACACATGATTTTTCATTCTTTGTTTTTTTCTTGAAAGGCAGTGTGGGGCTACCCCTGTCCATCTGAGCACCTCTTATCAGTGCCCCACTCCCCTTTATCACTGCCCCTCACCTTTACCACTATACCTGTCACCTCCCAATTTTTTGCTGCTGCCACCACCATCTTAAAAGAAAGCCTGGTGCCTTCCAGCAGCTTGGACTGCCTCTTAAAAAAAAAAGAACATGGGGGAGGGGGAGTCCAACCTTCTCTCTCCCTCTCTCTCTTGAGAGTCAGCCTGGGGCTCCCTCTGTGCATGTGTTCTCCTCTCAGCTGAGAGGCAGGCACACACGAAGAGGCAGGCCTGCCTGCGGGAGCTGGCCGGGCTGCCACTCAAGATGGTGGTGGCGGCACCAGCAGCAGTAAAAGGTAGGGAGGCGATGGGGCCAATGGGAATGAAATGGGATTTATTTTTATTTTTAAAAGGCATGAACTTAAAAAAAAAATACTTCATGGTTCATTTTTTTAAAAAAGTTCAGATGGTTCATTGTTTGTGGTTCGTGGGTAGGTGGGAATCACGAACCACTGCAAACCACAATTTGTATGGTTCAAGCCTGTCTCTAGTCACATATTGCCCACTTGTGCTGTTCAGTAAAGCAATGGTTTTCAAAATGATGGCTTCTCAAGGTATGCAGGATCACTAATCCACTAAAAGGTGGCTGATGCTGGAGGAATTTAACCTTTCAAAGCTTATTGATCGGTAAAGGATGAGGCACTTCATGACTCAACAAAGGCGGGACTGTATTGTACCAACACGAACATTAATTGGAAGCAGTTCTTTTTATCCCTAAAGAGGTGCATCCATTTTCAGATTGCACCTGCCCCCTATTTCTTATCAGTGAGTGGTATTGGCTAGAAATGTTCCTTCTTTGGCTTGCAACTGCTGGTTAAGAGAGATGAGTATTTGTCTTTTTGGACCACAGCTCCCAGAATTCCCCAGGTAACATGGCCAGTAAACTTGAAACATTTTCCCTCCTAGAATAAGACAATTATGACAATGAATTCAGGAGATGGGGAATTCTGTGTTTGGGGTTACATCTTTTTTATAACTTATTTTCTCTCTCTAGATGTGCCACAAATTATATTACTTACCAAAGTGGATGAAATTTGCTCTCCTCTGAAAGAAAATATTTCAGATGTGTACAGAAGCAGAGCTATTCTGGAACAGGTGGGTGCTGGTTGTGCTTCGGTACATTAATTCCACTATTTTAAAAGGCAACCTTGCTCTTGCCCTTTCAGGCTATGTACCGAGAGCTGGCTTTTTCCTTCAGTTTTCCTTCCCTGTGGTGTGAGTGCTTATCCTTGCTATATGTTTTTAGACCACAATTCGGGAGAAGTACACACGTAGGGCCTGATTAGTATGGGCAGTTACAATCTTCTACAGCCTTTACTAGCATTTCAGTCTCAGTCAGTTCAGGTCACCTGCTTCCATGTAAACGTCCATCAGGTTGCTCTTCCTCCTGTGCAATTCTGTCATCTTCATAACTGTCACTTGATGGCATCTCCAGGTGTTTAGGATCACGAAGCCGTGGCTGCAAGGTGACTGGTGCTGGAGGAACTTTGCCTTGCAAGGAAGGTGGGCTGCTGCTTGTGCACATGTGCCTACCTGTCAGCTGAGTGGCAGGCAGAGGTGCTCAGACAGCAGGCCTGAGTTCTCTTCAAGGAGCTGAACTGAAAGCTGCTGCCACCTTTCAGGTTGGCAGCAGGGGTGGCAGTGGCGGTGGCTTCAAGACAAAGGCAAGGAGGCAACATGTGCAGGGGAAGGAGGAGAGACGGGCATCCCTTTTTGCAGAAACAAAATGAAGCACCGAGGGGGAACGTATTTGGTGCTTCCTTTCAGCAAAACTGGACCCCTGAACCAAATCACAAAACATCCCAGTTTCAGGGGGGTTTTTTGGTTCGAGTTCATGGTTTGGTTCATGCCCATCTCTACTAGGAACCCATTTCTCCCCACCTCTTTGCCTCTCATTTCCACTCATTTTCCTTTCTTGTGGATCTTTGTTGTCATATTTCACAGTCTTTAAAAAGCAAAGAAAAGGAAAGGAAATAAAAAGTGTTTCTATGTAGGATTCTATAAAAGGCTTTCAAATATATATATAAAAGATCTTTGCATACTTGCTGTGTACAAGCCATATGTTCCTATGTTGATAATGTAAGGTCTCCTATCTGCTGGATAACAGGTGGTGGGCCTATATCTTACATATATTATAAAATAAGACTTTTAATAGATCATTCACCATTTGTGTTCTGAATGTCTCATCATTAAGTAAAGAAATATTAACCCACCCAAGGCCAGAGCTCAAATGGTGAATGATCTGTCAGAAGACTTATTTTTCAGGAAACTGAAGTGTTAAGGATTTGGAAGCATTTCTGGATGAGATGTTATGTACCATAATCTGAGGCATCAAAGAGGTTGAAACAAGAATACGATCAAATAAAATACAATTGTGTGCAGAAGCAACAAAGGTATAACCCCTGTCATTGGAGTACAGAATACATCAGGGGTCAATCAAGCCTCTGTAGACCTTATATGTTGCTCTCACCACTAATATTCCTATCTAAAACTGGATCTGTAATATCATTAATGATCCCTTCTTATCAATACATAACTGTCCTTGTGTGTGTGTGTGTGTGTGTGTGTGTGTGTGTGTGTGTGTGTGTGTGCGTGCGTGCGTGCGTGCGTGCGTGCGTGCGTGCGTGCGTGCGTGCGTGCGTGTGACTTGTGAGCCACCATAGATCCCTTCACTGGAAGAAATGCAGCTTATTTGGTTTTGCCAGTTTCATTTTGGCAGTCAGTTCCAGTGGCTGAGCAGAGATTGTTCTCCAGAGTCTTAGTCTGTCACTCTATCCTCTACACCACACTGTGTGTCAGACTCAAACTTAATGTTCACCAAATGACTAAAACATTGATGGAACATATTTGGCGAGTCCACGTTTGGAGAGACCAAGAAAACCACCATCTTGGCCAGTAATTACTTGCAGAACACCAAAAAATACCACCATACTTGTTAGTCAAACATTCCTTTCCCTTTATTGTTCACCTTTGTTATTGTTGATCCCTGTCCTTTTTATACTTTTTCTTGTTCTACCTCTACCTTTACTAGGTACCAGGAGTTTTGATTAATTAGAATTAATTAATCTACTTTAAAAAAAAAAGAATTCGACCAAGATGCACACTTACAGGGGTTTTGAAATGTTGCTGCCAAGTTTCTGTTGTCTAGATCAGGGGTCTCCAAACCTTTTCATATTTTTGAGGGCCAGAGGAATGTGTGTGTGTGTGTGCACGTGTGGCTGGCTGCTCCCCTGCCCGCCCAGACATCTGCCTGGATGACTGCCTGGCCAGCTGGCTACCCCCCTGCCTGCCTGGACGCCTGTCCCCGTGAGTGCACACTGAAGGGAATAGGCCAGATAAAATGGCAAGGTGGGCCGGATGTGGCCTGCGGGCCATAGTTTGGAGAGCTCTGGTCTAGAGTTATATGATTTTAAGCTACGGTAGCAGCAGTTCCAAATGCATATACAAAATCGCCAATTTTTGTTATTAGAAATGATACTCTAAATAAAGGTAATTCATTTTGTGCATTAGTATATGATTCTAACATTGGAATGTACACAGAAAACAAATAAAATGTTCCAGACAGTACCTTGACCAAACTAGATGTATCTAGACAATACTGCGATGACACTTCTTAGAAGCTGAATCAGGGTTCACTTGATAATAACTTATGCTCTTATTTCCTCTGCAGATGCAGGTAGCCTCAGGAAAACTTGGCATCCCTCTGAGTCTGATAGTTCCCATAAAAAATTACTGTTCAGAGTTGGAACTTAAGAATGATATTGATATCCTGATCCTTATCGCTGTGAGGCAAATGATACGATTAGCTGACAGCTACCTTGATAATTTCCGTTTGGCCGAAAGTGACATGGTGGGTTAATATTCTGAAATTAATATACAGTGGGTTAATATACAGTGGTGCCCCGCTCGACGATTACCTCGTTAGATGAGGAAATTGCTTAACAATGAAGTTTTTGTGATTGCTTTTGTGATCGCAAAATGATGTTTTAATAGGGAAAAACCACTTTACGACGATCGGTTTCCTGCTTCGGGAACCAATTTTTTGCTTAAAGATGATCAAAAGAGCTGATCACTGGGTGTTCAAAATGGCCGTCCACTGTGCAAAATGGCTCCCTGCTGTGTTTTAGGATGGATTCCTTGCATTACAGGCACCGGAAAATGGCGGTGCCTGTAATGGAGGATATTCGCTGGACACTGAGGTATTTTGGCCATTGGAACGCATTGAAGTGGTTTTCAGTGCATTTCAATGGGGTTTTTACTTTCGCTTGACGACGATTTCGTTCTACAGCGATTTTGCTGGAACGGATTATCCTCATCAAACAAGGCACCACTGTATATTTACTGAAGACAGTTAGATTTCTGAATTTTGTTTGAAATGTTGAAATGTGAAATATATCTCACACGTTCTGGGTTTTTGTGTTCACACTACATTGTCACATGGCGATCTGATTTTCTCAAAAAATTCTTGTTCTCTGTGGACTGAGTTGATTATTTTATAGAGCAGTGGTTCCTGACCCAGGTGTTCTTGGACTGCGGTTCCTAGAAGCCTTCCCCACCAGTCGAGCTGGTTGCAGTTTTTGGGAATTGTATCCAAGAACAGCTTGGTTACCCAAGGCTGGGAACCACTGTAGTGGATGTGGTAAATGTATGCATTCTTGGAGGAGGAGATTATGGTAACTGTAGAGCTTTGATAAAATTTGGAGAAGTCAGATCAAAGAGAGAGTAGTAACAATAAAGAAAAGAGATAAAAGTTATATTGACAGAAAGTAAAAAATATGAAGCCTCAAAGACATTTGGCAACTGGGTTTAAATGAAGACTGGAAAAAGTTCTGGAATAAAATTAAGTAAGGAGTATGTCAATAAGAGTTAAGGAAACAGGTTTTAAAGAGGGAAAAAAAATTGAATACCTAGGAATTCAGATTATAAAAAACTCCGAGTACTTTGATGAAAAAAACAGCTACCTCAAAATAATTGATAAGCTCAAAAAAGATATGGAAAATAGTCAAAAATTTTAATTATCATTTATGGGGAGGATTTCAACTGTGAAGATGAATGTATTACCTAAAATTATATTTGTTTTTCAGACAAAATAGCAGTTCTTACAAAACAATTAATAAATACTTCAAGAACTTACAAAAAATAATGAAGTTTCTCTGTCAAGGGAAAAAAATCTAGGATGAAAATGAAAGCATGCAAAACAAGATGCAAAACAAAGAGCAGGCTTTGGACTTCCAGATTGTTTTTAATATTATAAAGCCTGTGCTCTAGTTTGGATAAAGGAATGCATAGTTTTAGAAAATGATGGAATACCAAAACTAGGAGGACATTATTTAAACCTAGTATGGCATGCCTTTCTATGTTATCAAAAAGCAAAGGACAATAAACAATGTAATAATAATCATCTGATAAGGAAAGCTTTGAATTGGGTATGGACTAAGATCCAGGAACAAATTTACTTGAATGGGTCTCACCAATGGAAGCTTTCACACAACCAACATTACTGGAAAAGAAGAAAATCTTGAGATACAGAAATTTGTTAAAAGAGGACTTAAGTATGAAATCAAGGAAAGAATTAGAAGAACAAGGTACAATACTTGATTGGTGGAGAAAAACACAAATAGATTCAAGGTATACAAGAGATAAAACAATAGGCTTTTGTAAGGGACAGACACCATTAGATAAGTATTTCTGAATGTAAAGGACAAACTGAGCAGAATGTTGTGCAATTATCTACTAGAATTAAAAATGCAAGTTGAAATAGTTAAAGCATGTACTGTATGATAAAATGGGCCCAAAATGTGGGCCACAATATTAACTTGAAGTCATGGTCACAAATATGGGAAGACAATATTAAGTTAACAAAAGCAGTTAATTTATAAAGAAAAAAAATAAGATGTTCTATATATGGTATGGGACACCTGAAAAATTGCCAAAAATATATCAGAGTACCTCTAAAAAATGTTGGAAATGCAAATTAAAAGAAGGGAGTTTTTATCGTATGTGGTGGACTTGTAGGGAAGTTAAGAGCTTTTGAAAACTAGTCCATCAGTTTTTCCCCCCAAAAATGTTATCCTCTGTAATTCCATAGGAACCTGAACTGTTTTTGTTGAATATCATACCAGTTTGATAGAAAAAGAAAAAAAAGATAATTGATCATACACGTAACTACACTAGCAAGAATTTTATATGCCAAATGCTGAAAAAAAAGGAAACTGCAACAATCCAGGCGTTAATAGCATTTTTTTTTCAAAGCAGCAGACATGGATATTTTAACTGAAGTATTAAAAGACAAAGACATTGTTGAGGCTAGAAAAAAATGGGCACCCTCGTATAAGTGGATGAGAGGTGGGAATATGAATGGGTTAAGACTATAAGAAAGAAGATTTAGATAGAAATGTGAATCTTAAAAGGCTTAGAAAAAATTGGTAAGATTAGCATGGAGTAAGCTTAATAAGAAACTATAAAGATGAAAGCAATAATGATATATATTATTCTCTACCACAGTCTGTATTTTTTATTTATCCCAGTAATTTGTTCCAAATCCCCTCCCCTATGATATTCCCTGACCCAATGGAAAATAAATAATACATCTATTTAAAAAAAAAAAACAGTTAAGGAAACTTGTTATGAAGTTATCTGGAGATGATATTTAACTCTGATTAAATTGTATTTAATGAATCCTGAAGTTTTATCTGTATGTTGCAGATGTAGAAAGGGCTTTGATACATATTTTTATGTGGTGGAAATGGGAGAGGATTCAATAAATTTGGGAAAAGATACTCAAAGAGAGTAAGGAAATTATAGGTGCAACTTTGGAAATGTCTCCCATGGAAGCTTTGCTAAATATTTTTGATAATCCACAACAGGACTGGGGAAAAAATTCCAGCCCAAGACTACTACTATTACTACTACTACAGTGGTGCCTTGATTTATGAACTTAATCCATATTCAGGCGGTGTTCATAAGTCAAAATGTTCGTAAGTCAGAGCATCATTTCCCATAGGAATGCATTGAAAACCAATTAATCCAGTCCGGCTGAAAAAAACAACACCAAAAAACAAAAATAAAACACTGCAAGTCCCACGCTGGGACTGCAATAAATAAATAAATAGATAGATAAATAAATAAACAAACAAATAAATAAATAAATAAATACGCCAAAATAAACATCGGACCAAGTCCCACGCTGGGATTGAAACAAACAAACAAAAAACCCAGAAACATACCATCCCAGCCCAAACCTAGCCTCCAAAACCCACCCAGAACAACTAAAAAGCAGCAGCTTACCAGTCCGAAGCCTCCCACGGGTCCCCCGCTGCCACCGATCACTGCCTTAGGAGGCCTCCCAGGGCTTCCCCTCCACCGCCAAAGGCCTCTCGGGGGTCCCCCACCACTGCAGATTGCTGCCTTTGGAAACCCTGAAGGTGGTGATTGGCGGTGGCGGCGGACCCCTGGGAGGTCTCCCATGGCGGCAGGGAAGCCCCGGGATGCCTCTGAAGGCGCCGATGGTGCCGGCGCCGGACGCCTGGGAGGCTGAGCCTCCCTTTCCCTAACTGTTGGGGCGAAAGAGCTACAAAGAAGCAGCCTCTTTGCCACCAACATTTAGGTTTTTTGAATTTCCCGCCTTTTCCCCCTGCCTTTTTTTGTTCGTAGATCAAAGCTCTGGCTGCAAGTTAAAGCAAAATTTTGCGGCTGGAGCTGTTTGTAAGTCAAATTGTTCGTAGGTCAGGGCATTCGTAAGTCAAGGCATCACTGTATTGTTGTTGTCATCGTTGTTATTTTTGTCACCGTTGTTGCTGTGTGTGAGAGAACTGGAGTATGTTTAAATGAAAGCAAGTGTAAAGAAAAACGGTAGTTAACAAGTGGTGATGGATGGCACTAGCTGTATAATAGTGTGGGTTTTTTGTATGTTCTTGTATTAAACATACTCTTTTGCATGTGTAAAATTAAATATAAAAACATTTTTAAACATTATTTCTAAACATTCTTAATACTTATTCCTACTAGCTGTGTATACTTAAAAAGAGAAAATATAAAATTCAGCAGCTTGAATTTTGCATAAACTTACTCCTCCACTTATCAAAAAGCTTCTCAGAAGAAATTTTATTTTAAAATGCTATGAGTTATTTTGAGTCTCATCAAGTGAAAAGCTACCCTTCTTCCTAGAAGGGGAATATTAGTCTTACTATTAATGACTCATAAGTAATCCCTGGCCCTCTGATCTTAGCCAAAAGGTCTTCTTAAAATTGGGTGGGGACTTGTTAATGTCTTTTCTCATCAAGCAGTATCTCAGCTCAACAGCCTTTCCCCCCTCTGTAAAGGGTTTATAATTAGTAGAATACGTTACTGTTGTTGTTGTTGTTGTTGTTGTTGTTAGAACCTAATTTTGAAAGCTAGTCTTTCCTCAGTTAAATGTCTGCAGAGGTAATGCGGCATGCCTACTTTATTTACGGGCGTACCTCGGTTTACGAAATGTAATGTGGAAATTTCGTAAAAACCAATATGCGGATTGCACTAGGAATGGGAGTGGTGCTAGAAACCTCCAGACGCATTGCGTCCTGGGGAAACCCTTTTGTACAGTGGGGGGGGGGAGGAAAAAAAAAGTAAGCTGGGGCATTATTTTCTATGGATTTCAGTTTGTAAATTATGTAAACTGAGGCTTTCATAAACTGAGGTACCATTATATTATGTGTTGTCTCATTTGCAATAAATTTTCCATTAGAAGTTTCTAATCTTGCTGAGAAATGAAAAGATAAATAATAATAAATATATATTTTAAAAAGTAAAGGCATGTAGCATTCAATACTGTGCATTTATCCGACTGCAATTTGCCAAACATAGTATCCCCCTCAGGAAATAATAAGGCTGGATATGTTATTCTGTTGTGACACAAAAGTTATAAACAATTTTGGATTTCTCTGACAGGCAATGAGAAATTCCTCAAGAAGAAAAAGCCCACATTCAGAGACCAGCAAAGGTGAGTGAAAGAGAGGATCAGAATTTGAGACTCTTCCTTTTCCTCATATCACATGCTTATGGTGATTCCAGTTGGCTCCTTTTCTGAGAGTCACAATGATGATTCAAACCCAAATTCTGCACCCAGGGGTCTCAGAGAGTGATCTATATCAGATTGTAGCCTTGAATGGGCTCGCTTTGCACTCAAAGAGCACCCAGCCTCCATGAGGGCTCCAGAGGATTAACAGACAAAGTAGAAAATAGACCTTTTTATCCCATTGGTCCTCAGTGCGTTAATTTAACAAGTACTATATTAAAATGATAATTAAGATCAGTATTAAAACACATTTAAAACAACTGAGTACAACAGTCCTTTAAAACCCCTCTCGGGCCAACAGTTGTTAAGGAAAAAGCTGCCTGAAGAGAAAGGTCTTTGCCTGCCTGCAGGACAACAGAGATGGAGCCAACCTGGCTTCCTGTGGGAGGGAGTTCCAGAGTCTGGGAGCAGCGACAGAGAAGGCTCTCTCCCACGGCCCCACCAAATGCAGCTATGAGGGCGGTGGGACTGAGAGAAAGCCCTCCCCTGATTATTTTAATGTCTGGGCGGGCTCACAAAGGGAGATAAGGTCTTTTAGATAGCTTGGATCCAAGCCATTTAGGGCTTTGTAGGTGAAAAACAGCACTTGTAATTTTGCTTGGAAACGGATCAGCAGCCAGTGAAGCTGTTGTAACAGGGGTGTTACATGTTCTCTGTAACCAGCCCCAGTTAAAAATCTGGCTGTTTTGTGTTGTTTATGAAATTTCATTACTGTTTTCTCAGGGTCCTAACAACTGGGCATAAACAAAGCCCCCAATTTCTTCCTTTGGTGAATTAGAAATGAATTCATAGTTTCTTTGCTCCTTTTCAGGATTAAGTGATGCTTTTTAGATTGTTGTCATAAAAAGGAGGGCAGATTTTGTAGGACTTTTCAGGCTAGGTGTTTCACATGGGGGAGGCAGAACAAGAGCAGTCTAGTTTTCTGATTCTGTATCCCCTAGTTGAAGCCATTCCTCCCTATTCAAGTTCAGACGGCTCAACTTACAGACTTTTTGAGTTACAGACTTCTCTGGCTGCAAAATTTAGGTTTGACTTGCAGCTGGAGAATCAACCTACAGACTGGGGAAAACCCCCAAAATGGAACAAAAATGGCTGGTTATGGATTAATTGGTTTTCAATGCATTGTAGGTCATTCTTTCCTTCCTTCCTTCCTTCTTCATAACTGGAAAGGCTTGTGATTTCCTTAGTATTTAAATATCAGAAGATTTTTCATTGGTTTTTATATATTAATGTGTGATTTAAAAACCAGTGCACTCTGGCTACTTTGGAAAAGAAGGTGTTACAGTTCCAGATTTATTGCGATTCGTCTGTAAATAGTTCATAGAGATAGGCACAAAGAGCTTTGTAGTGCTTCATCCCAATTTGTACCTGTGTCACCCCAGGTGCTGCACATTCCTTCCCCCTCTCCCCCCGACTGGCTGTCCCACTGACAAGCCTTGGCGTTCCACTTGGGTTGTCCTCTGTGGCTGGCTTCCAGTCTGGGCAGGAGCCCAGGCTTCCCCTCCTTGCCTTCTCTGGTAACTGACCACTCAGATA